TCTAGTTATCTCTCTCTCTCTCTATGTGTGTGTGTGTGTGCGTCTGATTTATATTCCGGCGCAGCCATTTGGTCGGTCGCCGTTTCTTTCCCTCTCAATTTGCGTATGCGTATGCGTGTGTGTGTGTGTGTGTGTGTGTGTGTGTGTTTGATTCACCTGCTTGTTTGTTTTTATTCTCTACTACACAACGACACTAACTCCGCAACTTTGTTTGCCTTATGTTTCGCTTCTATGTTCTCGTTGTTGTTGTTGTTGTTGTTGTTTTGTTTCTTTGGTTTTTACTTCGCGCCTTCTTCCTCTCTGTGAAATATCCTTTTTCTCCTCACCGGTTACTTTTCCGGCGCCTCTTTCGCGCCCTGCGCCGGGGGCCGGCAGGCGTCGTCCGTGCCGAGGAGGCGGAGATTCTCCCCGGCCGCCGCCTCCGTTGCGGAAGGCGGAGGCGCGGGAGACACATTTCTGCCTCTCTGCGCCCGTGTGTTTGTGTGTGTGTGTGCCGGCGGCTTTTATTTTCTCTTCTCCTTCTTTTCTTCTGCTGTGTGAATCCCTCCCACGCCCCTGCTGCCCGCGCACCTCTCTTGCCTCGCCTCCCTCGCCCCGGGGACAGCCGCCATGCATCTGCCCACCGCCGCCCCCGCGTGCCACTCGCTCTCTCTCTCTCTCTCTCTTTCTGCGGTGAATGGGGGCGGAGACGCAAAGCAACCCGCACGACAGAAAAGGGAAGAAAAAAAAAGAAAACGGTAGGCGGAGGAGGAGGAGGGGAAGTTCGTCCTCGTTCCGTGGGGGGACCGTTAAACACATCCAATGAGGTGGACGAGTCTCGTCGTTAGGCAGCAGAGCCAGCTGCAGTGGATGCTGCGCCGCCACTGTAGGCCTAGTAGTTGTTGTGGTGTTGTGAGTAGGCGTTTTATTGCCGTTGGCGATGGGGCACGGCTTGGCGCAGCCGCTGGCAACGGCGGCGTGTCCGCGCAATGGTTGCTGCATCCAATTCGCGGGCGGTGGCGCCACTTCCTCGCCCAGCGGTTTCCGCGGAAGTGTTTGACTGTCGTAACGAGCGCCCTACTCCTCTTTGCTGGCTACGTTTCGCTCTGCATAGTGGTGGAGCGGCAGATGGAGGCGTCTGTGCGGCAGCTTTTCCAGTCGCACGAGGAGTACCCGCTTGAGGAGTGGTCGAAGGTGGAGCCCACGCTGCGTGAGGGCGACGTGGTGTTGCTCATGGGCACCGGCATCACGAGCTGGAAGATCACCACGGCGCAGTTTGTGTACAGCCTCATGCGCCCCGCCGCCCTGCGGTTCTCACACGTGTCGGTGGTGGTGGAGCCGGCGCAGCTTGAGCGCTGGCCGTCGCCGCGCTTTGCCCCCGCCAGCAGCACCGCCGTGGAGGCGTCGAAGGGCGGCGGGCAGTGGCTCCCGTCTGGCAGGATTTCCGACATGCTGCAGAGGGAGCGCTCCATGCGGCAGCGAAAACAAAAACGCGGGGCCATTTTGCTGGAGGCGGTGGACAACCTTGACATCAACGCCCCCGACGTGGATGGGAAGGTGCGTCACGAGTGCGTGCAGCTGGTGGAGGCGAAGCACCGCCTCTTTGGGCGCGAGGGGGAGCGCTGGTGCTACAACCGCGTCGCCGTGCGACGACTGAAAGGGTTTGAATGGACGCCGCAGCGAAAGCGTCTCCTGCGCAGCTTCATCAACGAAAATGTCGGCCGCCCGATGGACAAGAACCCGCTGATGATTTTAAGCTTCATTCACCCCAAGCTGTACGCGTGGACGGGGGGGCGGCAGGGGGGGACGGAGATCAGCTGCAGCGAGCTAATCGTCGACCTCTACAAGTACTGCGGGATCATCCAGAAGCGAGTGCGGATGGTCCCGGTGACGGACGGCGCCGCGAACGCCGACGGCGACGTTGTGGTAAACCCCGACGGCAGTCTTAGCCGCCCTCAGTGGTACTTCAACCGTCCGAGCATACAGACGGCCCCATTTCACTTTGCGGAAGGCATGGAGGTTGATGTGCTGGACTTTGCGGAGGGTGTATCGCTGGGTCCAGAGGTGCGCATGAGTCTTCCTGGCGGGGAGGCGCAGGCGCATTGAGGGAGTAGCGGCAAAGCAGCGTGAATGAGGGCGATTTGCACGCGGCACCTGTGAGTTCTTTTTCCTAACTATATGTGCTCGCCGCAGCTAACGCCTTACGGCATGCCGTTCCTTTCCAGTCTTGTGGCTTTGTTGGTTGCGTGCATGCACCCTTGCGTGGACGGAAGGAGAAGGGGATAAAAGTGGGGGCAGAGGGAGCCGCTGCCGCCGGCGTCCGTGTGCGTGCGGGGGCCGGGGATAACTGTGGCTCAATCCGTCCCCACTTCTTCCCGCCCCTTCCTGCTGCGTACACCCCCTCCCCCCAAACACTGCACGCTCTACGCAGTTTATTTGCGCGTAGCTTATCGTGTCTCCCGGGCCCTGTCGCTTCTTCGCGCCCGCCCGCACACCCGCACGTCATGCGGGGAACCTGCGCCGAATAAGGGCCCCGCGGGCCGCAAAGCAACAAAAGAAAAAAAGAAAATAAAAGTGGGCTTTACTCTCTCTCTCTCTCCCTCTCTATGTGTGTCTTTATCTCGCGGTGTTGTTTGGCTGGAGGGGCCGGAGGCGTGCGGGGGCGACGCTGTCCGCTGCGACACAGGCGCGCCGGGCAGCACGAGGCGGGGGCAGGCGGACGGCGGGCAGGCGCAGCAGCGGCGGGGGAGAACTGGGGGGGAGGAGGGTGGGGGGCGTCGTGCGGGAAGAATAAGTTAAAAGCCTAAAGGAGGAAGCGGTGGACAGGGGGCGAAGGAACCGCGGCAAAGCGACGGCCTCGCCATCATGGCGAGGACCGGCGCAGACGAAGACCGTCGCCCCGGAGGGTTTCCCCCGGGCCGCCCTTGTAACTGCCGCCGCCATTAATTGAGACGTAGTGAATCCCCTTGCTGCCTCTCATGTCGTCACACACCTCTCCCGCAGCGGCTGAAGGGGGCGCAACTGCGACGCCGCAGCAGCTGCAGCTCAGGCGGTGGGGAGGAGGAGGAGGATGGAGTTGGGGCGTGGGTGCGCCGGAGCATTGCGGCAATGGTCATGCCGGTGCGTTGACGTGCACGCGTGTATGAAGTCCGCTCCCACCGACTCCTTCACCGATCTTGCTGCACCTGCGCACGGGCCTCCAGGGATGGATGTGTTGCAGTGTTGTCTCTCGCAATATTATCTGCCTGTTTTTCTTTTTCTTTGTTTCATGGCTGCAGTGAAGCTTCTGCTGTAAAACGCACACACACACACGGAAAAAGGAAAAAAAAAGGGCGGGGTGGTGATGTCTACCGTGACGACGCAGGCGTTCAGTCTCAAGACGCGCCAGGCCGTCGATGAGGACGCGCTGCTCACCGAAGAGGACCGCGTCGTCAAGGAGGCCACGAAAGGGGAGGACTGCACAACGCGGCGACGCGCCTGCAAGAACTGCAGCTGCGGGCGGGCGGAGTTGGAGAGGAAAATGCAGGCGGAGGGAAAGTCGCTGGAGATGCCTGAGATGCCTACCGGTGGCTGCGGCAACTGCGCGAAGGGAGACGCGTTCCGCTGCGCCACGTGCCCCTTCCTCGGCCAGCCGGCGTTTGACAACACGAGCGACGGTAAAGTGAAGCTCAACCTGACGGACGACATCTGACCACGGCAGGGAATGAACGCGCACACACGCAGACGGCCTGAACAGCGGGAGAGGGGAGTAGGCATAAGTAAACGGGGAGGAGGCGACGACGACGGCGGCGATGTCGGGCACACTGAAGAGCAGTTCGGTGATATTTACGTCTTGGTGGTAGTGGGGCGGGGGGTTCCATCGCCCGCATTGCCGCATGCCGCCGCTGCACTGCCCACCAACACCGCCCTCCTCCTCCTCCTCCTCCTCCTCATCGGCGGCGGCGTCCGGCCTCCGCCCCTCTGGCAGTCGGGAAGAAGACGGAAAGGCATGCGCGCGGTGCGGACACGCGGGGTGCGACGGCGCTGGCGCCCCGGCGAGGATGAGGGATGTGCGAGTCCCCCATCCCCCCCTTCCAACCCGCGTTGGATTGTTTATATAGTCGTTTATTGTTTGTTTGTTTGTTTTTTTAATGCAGATGTGCCGCTGACCCCGCGGACCGCAAAGTGTTTTGGCTTTGCTTTGTTTGGTGCCTCTTGACGGCACGCTGCCCCCGCAGGGAGGGGGCGTGCGGTCGCACTTCAGGCCGCCGCCGCCGCCCACCACCACCACCAAGCACTCCTGCCCGTTGCTGCTGCTTTTTCTTGTTCTTCTTCCGCCCCATCCCCTTCGTCGCCCTCGGCAGCAGAGCCACGCGTAATCATCTCTAGGGGTCTCCCAGCCGATTGCAAACAACGCGGCAGGGAGAGCGTTAATAATAATAAGAAATAAGGGAAAGAGAGACACTGCGTTATTCGTTTAGTTACTTGTGGTTGTTTGCTCGCTTAAACCAGAAAGAAAAAAACACATTATTACTGCTGGTGTCATTCTTTCTGTCCGAGGCCCGAAAAAGAAATGCGTCGCGTGCTGCTTTCCCGCAACCGCGTGGACTTCGTCGCAACGCTCCTCCGGCAGGGGCGGCTTGCGGATCTCTTAATGCTGCAGCATTTCTCGTCGCAGCGGCCGCAGGAACCTTCTGCGGGCAACGCAGCTGAGGAGAGCAGCGGCGGCGGCGACGGGGCCAAGCTGTCGGTGGCTGGGGGCGCACGTCGGGCGTTGTTGGCGAAGACTGAGGCTGTACGGGCCAGGGCAATGACGCAGCCCTGCATGGGCTGGCTGGCGGACGCCTACGGGGCGGGGGAGTGGTGCGCCCTCTCGGGGGCGCAGGACACGGTGCGGGCTGTAGTGGGCGCCAGCGACCCCGCCCGTGCCAAGTTGCGTGGGACGTTCCTCGCACTGGGGCAGGCGGGCAGCTCCCCGGTGTCTGTGCGGCTTGCCGCGTCGAGGGAGAGCGGGGAGGCCTTACTGTTGACCTTGCCGCTGGAGCAGCCCGGGGAGAGGGTGCGCAGCAGCGTCGTTGGCGTTGGGATCCGCGCCGTGACGCTGAACGAGGCAGAGGCCTCGGTCGTGTCGGACACCGCCGCCGCGGTGGACGCCTTCGCCGCCGAGCAGAACCTTCTCTCGGCCGCGGTGTGCAGCGGCATCCTCGGCAAGCTGGAGGAAATTTGTGCCCTGCATGCCACCCACACGGTGCGCTACGATGGCCTGTTAGTCCGCAACCCGGCGGTGCAGAAGCGACTCTCGCAGCTGGCGTGCGCGCGCTTCAGTCTGGAGGCGCTGAGTTCGTTCGTCGCCACCGTCGCCGTGGAGGAGCCCCTGCCGCTGGTGGAGTCCGTCGCGCTCCGCATGCACGCGAAGCACGCGCTCTCCGCGGGGATAAGGCACGCGCGCGAAGTCATTCACGGCACGGCGATGCTGAAGGCCACCCCACACCGCTCGAAGCCGGAGCGCCTCATAGACTACCCCTACGCGAGGGAGCTGTTTGAGGCGGAGCTCGATGTCATTGCGAGCCTTGGCGGCTCCTGCGAGGCGGCGTCGCGGCGGTACTTCACGCCGCTGCTGGCGCAGTCGGAGGCGCAGGTGACGATGGGCGTGCAGAGCTCAATGGCCGCGCTGCTCGTCGGGGGTGGCGGAGTGAGTGTCAATTTGGCCGCACCGCACGTGAACCTGCGCGTGAGCGCCGTCGCCCTCGAGGAGGACATCACCACGCTGCTGCAACGCATTCAGCAGCAGGAAAAACGCGAGGACCCGCTGTTTGTGAAGGCCATGGCGCAGTACTCGGCGGAGGTCTTTGCGAACACGGCCGTTGTCTACCGCACCACAGCCTCCCTCACGCGCGAGGAGGACGCCGCCCCACGCGAGTGGCTGCTCACGCAGGCCTTTTGTGCCGACTCCCGTGTGCGTCGTGCGACGATTATCCGTGACTGGGAACTCTCGATGGCGGCGCGCAGGGCCGTCGGCAAGGCGTCTGACCTCAGCGGCTGCACAACGCACCCTGTAGAGCTCATGAACGCCGAGCCCACTCGGAAGTCGCAGGCGCCCCCGAAAGCTGCCGCGGGGCGCGCGACGCAAGCGGCGAGCGCCAGTTAGCGAGGAGAGTGGCGGATGAAAGGCGCCGACGCTGGGCGCGGCAACGCCCGGCGGGGGAGGGCCGCGAGCGGAGTAGCAGGGCGGGTGTGGCCGCGGTGTCCCCTCACACAGCCTGCCTTGGTGTGAGGAGCGGACCCAGTGGCCACACTCCACGACTACTAACACTAGCATCACATTTCAAAATAATGCCTTGCGGCGTGGAGGGAAACAAATGAGAGAAGGAGGCAGAGGAGGGAAAGAAAAAAGACTAACTCTTTATGTGTGTGTGTGTGAGGGAGAGAGAGAGAGAGTTGGTGGGGAAAGGGGACTGGTGTCGTTCTGAAGGATCTCGTCTCTGTGTCTGCAGGTGCGCCTCTGCTGCGGCCGAACGGCTTTGCTGCTTCACCACTACTGCAGGCGAGGAGGGTGGGGAGGAAATACGAAGAAGAAAAATAGGAGGGAGGGGAAGGTGTCATGTGCGAGGCTCAGCGCGAGAGACGTGGGCAAACAGCGACATCGTCGGCGTCGGCGTCGTCCAGCGACAGCGGTGGCAGGCGATACACCGCGGCAGAGGAGCTCGCCGCGCAGATCGTTGACTGCGCGAGTCTCCTGACGTGCATGAACGCCGAGGAGGCCGTGGGGTCCATCAGGCCGCTCTCTCCGAGGAGCCGTGCCGTGACGGCGTGCGTCTCGTGGCGCACGGCAGCGCCAGCGCCAGGCGACGTGCGGTCCGTGGATGTGCGCTTCAGTTACGCGGAGGCCTTTACATGCCTCCCAAAGTCCGGCGGCGACTGCGCCTACGAGTCGCTGATGGCGTTGTTGGTGGCAAACGGCTGTGGAGTCGCCGCGGCGGCATGAAAGACAACGGGAGGGCCGCAGCGGTGCCAACGAGGACCAAAAGAAGAAACAATAATACACGAGACACGTCTGTGCGCGTGTGTGGCAGGAGGGGGCGGCCTTGGCGTCCCCTCCTTCTTTCCACCGCCGAGAAGAAGCAGGACAAGAACTCCGGCGTGAGTGCTGCAGTTGTTTGTTTTTTCTTTTGTTTGTTTTTATTTGTCCCTCTCTCTCTCTCCCTCTCTTTACTTCCCTGGGGGGTCTGTGGCGGCGTAGGTGTGTAGGTACCCCGGTGAGGCGGTTTTTTTTTTTTTTGGCGTGCGGCGGATGGTCGCTCTTCTCGCGTACGTGCTCGTGCTTGCGGTCGCCGCCCTCCTGACGTTCCAGCTGTTCGGCAGCAAAAGCGGCGGCAGGGCGGCGGGGGCCCGCGGCTGCGGCCTTGACTTCTTCTACCCGGCGGGGCGCCGGGGGCGCAAGCGGCCGCTGGACCCGTTTCTCTCCGCCGTGGACGCGCCGCAGGCGGAGATGCTGTCGTTTCTGCAGGAGACGTGCTGCGCGCTTCCCGCGCGGGCGGAGTCGGTGCGCATCCTGGCGGGCCCCACAAACTTCTTCGAGGAGCTGCAGAAACGCGTGCAGGCGGCCAGCAGCAGCATCGTCATGTCCGCCCTCTACATCGGCGACGGCCCACTCTCGCGGCAGTTCGTCGCGTGCCTCGAGCGCAAAGTCGCGGAGGTGGCACAGGTGGGACGGCCGTTTGACATTTGCCTCCTCCTCGACTACAACCGCATGCACGACCGCCACAACCTCCTCACGCTGAAGCGGCTGCTCACCCTCGCCCACACCACCAGCGGCGGCGCCGCTCTCGACAACAGGGGGCTTGTGCGAGTGCGACTCTTCCTCTTCCAGGCGCCTTGTCGTTGGAACCGCCTGTTTGCGCCCTTCGGCCGGGCGAAGGAGGCGCTTGGAGTGCAGCACACGAAGATCTTCTGCTTTGACGGCCGCGACACCATCTTGACCGGCGCGAACCTCTCCGACGACTACTTCTCCACGCGTATGGACCGCTACGTGGTGGTTGAGGACAACGCCCGGATCGCCGCCTGGTTCTCCGACCTCGTCCAGACACTCTGTCGCCTGTCGCACCGCGTCGTGTGTCGAATGGAGTTTGCCAGCGGGTGTCACAACAACACTAGCGCGAAGAAGGACAATAATGCTAAACATAATCGTAGTCATAGTAGTAGTAATAGCAGCAATGGTGGCGGTGGCGGGATGGACGGCGACGGCCACGGGGTGTGCGGGCGGGGCGGCGGCTCCACGCTGCACAAGAAGAGCGACCTCGTTATTCTCCCCAACGCCGCGGGCCTCGATCCCTCGTCACAGAGCGCCGCCTTCAGCGTGCACGCCAAGCAGTTGCTAGCGGAGTTTGCCGCCAGGGCCGTTGCGGCCGCGGAGGCCCTCCCGCCGGGGGAGGAATACGACACCTTCCTTTTCCCCACGGTGCAGTGGGCGCGTGCGAACGTCTTCCACGACTCTCTCGTTGTGCAGCAACTGCTCCACAAGGCCCCGGCGTCGACGCGGGTCTACCTCACCTCCCCCTACCTCAACCTCTACGCCCAGTTCGTGGACGAGGTGCTGGGGGGTGAAAACCGGTACGACTTCATCACGGCAAGCGTCACCACGAACGGGTGGCGCGGGGCGAAGGGCTTCGCGGGGTACATCCCGTACTTTTACCTGCAGCTGGAGCGGGCCTTTTACTACCTGACGCGGGAGTACGGCTGCTCCGACAGGGTGCGGGTGCGGGAGTTCGGCGTCGCTGGGTTGACGTTTCACGCGAAGGGCGTGTGGTTCGTCGAGCGGGCGGAGGAGGGCGACGGCGACGGCGCGTGTGAGGCGGCGGGGAAAGGCGTAAAGGCGCCGTACCTCGTCGCCTACGGGAGCACGAACTACGGCTACCGCTCCGTGCAGAAGGACGTGGAGGCGGAGGTGTTCCTCTTCACGGCGAACGGCGCCCTTCGCGAGGCCCTCCGCGAGGAACTTTTGTTCCTTCTGAGGCAGTCGACTCTCGTGACGGAAGAGCGCTTTGTGCGCGGGGCGCAGGGCCGCTTCCAGCCGGTGGTCTCGCTGCTCGCGCAGATGGGGCAGGACTTCCTCTGAGCGGCGGCCGGGTGGGGGGCGCCCGGAGACGCATAAATAAAAAACGAAAATCATCAGGCAGGACGGTGTGCGTGTCTTCTTTTTTGTTTTGTTTGTTTTTGTCTTTTTGTTTTCTTTTCCTGCGTGCGTGTTTTAGCCGCTTCCGCGCCCCTGCCGTCTCTCGCAGCACCACAAGCGAAGGGGGGCAGAAGTTGGAGCCGCCCAAAGCACACAAAACAAGGCGAGGAGGAAAACAAAACAAAAAACGCACAGGCAATCAAAGCAACAAAAGAAGGGGGAAAAGGGCACAAGACATCATATATATATATATAGAGAGAGAGAGGCTCCACTCTTTGGAAACGTAGTTTCCTCTTTTGTTTTTCCTTTTGGCTCTGCGATGCAGGAGGCCGCGCC